GTCCATCTGAACAAGCACAGTGGACAGCGGGCCTGGGGTCACCCTCCTTGATCTCCTTAGCTAGTATGGCTGGGGACAGGTGCAGAGGGAGAGGCGGGTGGTGATGGTGGCTGGGTCTGTAGTCTCATTCAGGGCTGGCAGGTGGGCACAGTCAGGTCTCATCAGAATCTCAGCTAGCTTAACTGGGACAGGACAGTGCAGCCAGTGTCCTCACCCTCTCTGGGAAAAGAGAGGTCAAGTGAGAATGCACTACAGGGGAAATGTTTAACCTACTTGTAAGATACAATGACTTGCAAGGGCTTTAGCATATTTATTTTACTTACCAATGTGCAATTATGTGCTGTTCTTGTTTATTCATTACAGTGGATCCCCATTTATTGAGCTCTCTTAAATCCATTCAGCCTCAGACTAGACAGAAAACCCCACTCCTCCTCACACAGTCAAGAAGATGGAGTGGCTCTGAAGGTGCCATGGGGCTCTCAAGTCCCTTATGCAGCACTCACATCTTTCCCATCATGTACCCTCTGTTTTAGCAAGGCCTCTCTATAATCCCTGTGTGGCCACCCCAGCATTTTTGGCCCATTTCCAGGTGCCCAAGTTCTACTCCTTCGCAAATGAATTCTATTTCAGTTCCCCCATCCTCCCAGAAGCCTTTTCTAGACATTCCAGCCCAAACTAAAGCCAGTTTGGGCCAGACCAGAAAGGGGCTGAGGGCAGCCTAGTCTTGCAGGCTCTGCCACAGATAGGAGAAGGGGAAAGGCCACTGGACTCGGAGCTGTGTGGGTTGGTTGCCTAGTCAGTGCCCCGGACTCACAGGGAACTGGTGTGGGTTCTAGAAACCTGGGCCAAATGCTCCTGGGGTCCTGAGCATGGAGTTGAGGAGAGCAGGCCTGAGCCCTGGTGAGCACTGCTCAGTTGGCCAAGGGTAAATGTGGGCTCTGGAATGTCTGATAGGGTCCTAGGGCCCTGCAAGCTAGGCGTGTGGTAAGCAGAGTGAAGCCTAGATTCAGGTCTTGTTTCTGCGCAGGGGCTGTTTATTTGGGGCAGGGTACCACACCTTGCTGAGTCTCTGTTTTCTCATGTGTAAAATGGTAATCGTCTGTTATTTGGAGGGTTGTTGTAAAGTAGGTAAGATAATTTATGTGAAGTGCCTAAAGCATCAAATTGTACGTGTTCCAGAAACAGCAGCTCTTATGTAAGTATAAATAATAAATAATAACAATTCCAAATCTCCAGCTCCACCGATTTCTGTGTGCAACTTTGAACAAATTCCTTATTAGCTCATCCGCTTCCTCACCTGTAAAATAAAGATTCTGGTTCATCCATTTATTCAATAATTACTGAACAACTTATTATGTGCTGGGTGCAACTAAATCTGTCATTTACTGTTAGCTAAAAAACATGGCACAGTGCCTGGCATATACTAGGTGGTTAATAAATGTCAGTTTTCTTACACAAGTTCCAGCTGGATGATGGGCGATAGATGGAGGGCGGCAGGGGATGAGGTGAGGGTCAGAGTAAGGGAATTTAGGAGGGGTAGTGGTGGATATCTGTGTCTGCCTTGAATTCCCAGCTCCTCCTGGCCCTTATCCCTTCCATTGGCAGGGTCTCACTTTGTCTCTAAGGGTGGAGGATGGTGCTGGGGTCTCCAAATAGTTCGTCCCCCTTTCTGCTCCTTGGTCCCATCAGACCTCTGTAGACTACCTGGTCTGTCCCTTGCCTGTAAATGGAGACAATGAGGTCTCCTCCTTCTCAGACATTGGAGACACTGCAATGTGCCCACCTCGTTAAAGTGGTGTCAGGCTGAGGGCCTCCCCTCACTCCTCCCACTCCCAGAGTGGTCTCCTTGTCAAGCCGGCCCCTATCTCATGCTCCTGGCTTCTTTCCCAGGGACCACAGGCTGGACTCACCACCACCTCTGGCTTAGCAGCACTGAAGCCCCACTCCTCTTTGTTTGGACTTTGCCCAGCTGCTGAGCCACACCAGGCCAGACCCTCCCAGGGGAGTTGTGTGTATATATGTGCACAAGCAACATGAGACCTGGCACGTAGGAGGCCTGCAATAAAAGCTGATTGAATGAATGCTCCCTCTGCAAATGGAGCTCATTCATTCATTCTGCAAACATTTATTGAATACATAATCCATTTGGTGCCAGGCTCTGTGTCAAGGGCCATCAATAGTAGCCAAGTTCTCCAAAGAATGAATGGCATTCACAGGTTTCCTGCTCCCAATACCCACATCCCACCATCTGGCTCTCGGACCCCAGCCCCTCCCACACCTCCAGAAACCAGGGCACTGTCTCCACCAGGGATATGACTATAGCATATGTTTGAGTACCAAGTCACTGAGTTTGGGATCAATCCTGGTGCCATGCTTATCCTGTCTATGCCCTTAGGCAAGTTATTAACTTCCCAGAGCTTCAGTTTCCTCATCTGGAAAACAGGTATAAATATAATTGCTTATCTCATATTTTCGGAGTGGAATAAATGCAGTAAAACATATGCTTAGGACATGCCCAGTGCATAGTAGGTGCTCAATGAACATGAGCTATTATGATTATGACCCCTCCACAGCACTGGTTGTCACAAGTCTGAACTCACAGTAGATGGTCAGCAACATAAGACTTCTTGTAAACAGGGAGATCTGATGGGACATTCTGGGTGAAGAAACCCAGAAACTGGCGAAGAGATGGTGAAGAGCAGTGAGAGACTACCTGGAGGAGCAGGTAGGTCTGGAAGAAGTCCCCAGGATGTCTGTGTCTGCCTCCAGGACAGGGAGCTCATTACTCTGAAGCAGTGTATTTTGTGCTCACCAGCTCTGATAGTCACAGTTCTTTACATAGGTGACTGCATTCTGTCTTTCAAGTCATAAGAAAACCATGGGGATCCGTGAGTGAGGCCCAGACTGATTGTGGCATATATATAAGGGTAGCCAAGTACTTTTTAGGCCTTTGAAAACCTATGCCCACTTCAGTATCTACTTTCCCCTCCTCCAGGACACCCTCACACTACTGCCCCATTTGGAGCAAGTAGCCAGGTGGTGCATGCTAGCCATGGCCACATGAAATCACACAGAGGGGAGTGGAGTGGGGTCTCCCAGGTAGGACAATGCCCTCACAGGGCTCTCTGTTTCTTCCTGGTGAAATGTGTGCTCTCTGCAGATGTCTTTTTCTTTTTTTTTTTTTTCTTTTTTTTTTTTTTTAGATGTCTTTTTCTTGACTGTTGTAAAGCTGTGAAACAAACAATCTTGCCACTGGAGAGCAAAAATGAGTCCCAAAGCTAGGTGTGCCCATACCTGGGCAGGGCCTGCCCTTCTTCACTGTTAGGCCATCCGGAAGGATGGAAGGACCCAGCCGGCCATCCTTCAGGGGAGCCCCTGGCATACATCTTTTGAGCCAGGGTCCTATCACTAATTAATACCACTGCCCAAGAGTTTTCCTGGGACTGAGGGAGGAGCTCAGAGCCCTTATTCTCAGGTCTGGGCAGGAACAGCTAGCCTTGACCCACTACCCTGTATTTCCACTCCAGAGGCTGCACCCTGGCTGGCTATTTAGGGCCCAAGGGGAGACCCCAACACTGCAGAGCAGGCCTCCTAGGCCCGCCTGTCTCATCCTGATAGCATCCCTGGCATTTGCTCCAAACTGGCCAACATAGCCTCTGTCTCCCCGCCCCTGGGGGCTGGACAGTACCTCTTTTGCCATGCTCTCCTGGGCGCCCATGTGTAGAGCCAGAGACCCTCCTGACAGTCCCTGGCAACCTCTGCTTTCATTAAATGTGTATCAGGGAGGCCCTGAGCAGTGATATCCTTGCACCACCATCACTACTTCCTTCCTGCTCTGAGCTATTGGAGACCAATAGCTCGTGGAGACCATCAAGCTGTGGCCCAGTTGATGGCAGTGGTTTCTTTCCCACCCCACTCAGGGATCCCAACCCTGGAAAACACTGGAATCTGAGTTGGGGTGCCACTGACCACAACACATATCCAGTGACTTGGAATTTACCAAGTCCTCATCTTGTTGAAGCCCCACAGCAGTTGGTGAGGTAGATGAACATTATCAGACCCCTTTCATAGGTGAGGTAGATAGGCTCAGAGAGGCAAATGGACTTTCCCAAGATTGCACAGTTACTAGACAGCAGAGCCAGATATAGCCTGGAAACCATGTGCTCATGGGGGAGGGGAGCGGGGGGGCACAGGCTCTGTGGCCCTGGGCCAGTTACTTAACTTCTCTGAATCTCAGTCTTCTCATTTGAAAAATGGGAATAGCAATAGTTCCTGTCTTGTCAGGTTACTCTGAAAATTAAATTAGATTATGCTATACATAAGCACAGTAGCAACATGGAGATATGCTCAGTAAATGTGAGCAATGGTTGGGATTATTATCCCAATGATATTCAGACGCTGTCTCTGTATGGACCACGCCCCAGATGAAGCCTTGGTACCTCTAGGCTCCCATCTGTTTCTGTTGGTGTCATTCATGACCTGCCAAAGTGAACTCAGGGTCCCAGAGTGGAGGAGCAGCGGTAGAGCGGGGCCATTGGATTCCTTCCTGGGGCTGCCTGCCTGCTGACAGGTCAGGGGCCTATCTCTGGCCCATGGTGGCTGCTGCCTGTTTTCTCACATGGATCTCAGCAGCACTAGGGGCCTTGCTGGGGCTTTGCCATGAGTCTTTGATCTCTAGAGGACAAGGCTGAGCATGGAGCCACCCACTCAGTGATACCACTCAGTCTCCTCCACATCGTACTATTAGCCCTGGCTTTGGACACTACTTCTTGAGAGCCTGCCTCCTGCAGATGAACCCCTCCAGGACATGGTCCAGGCCAGCAGCTTGACATTTGGACACCCCCTTCAGGAGCCCTGCAATGGGAAGGAAGGGAGGAAGGTTCTAGACACACTTCCTGGGACCTAGTAGGGAAGTAGGCATCTCTGTGCCTAAGATGAGCTCTGAGAAAGCTTTGGGGCCTGTGGGCTGGATCCTCAGCATTTTAAAATTTTATTATGACTGTGTTTGTTTAAATATATATGTGTATATATTTATAACTCTATGTACCTCCCCCTACCCAACCCCAGTCCCTCCCGGCCCCTAGTTTTTCCCTTTGGCTTTCTGTCTGGAGGCTGTGTAGGGAAGCACTGTCTGCGTGCTCTTGTCTGACACCGTTTGGGTGCTGCTGTTCCTCATGATCCTTCGTGTCTGCTCGGGGGCCAAGGTGGGGCCTGAGCATCGGCCAGTCAGTGGAGAGCGCCTTGGCTTGTTGGGGGCCAGGGAGGTCTTGAGGGGGCCCACATGGGCCTCTGTATGGGGAGGCTCTGGGGACAGGTCCGCCTCCTCCTCTGCCGCTGCCTCCTCACCATCCCCCTCTTCATCATCACAGCACAAAGCATGGTAGAGCACTTTGTCGCTGAAGCGCACTCTCTCCCGTGTGCCTGGGGTCCGCTGGGGCAGTTGCCCCTTGAGAGGGCCGGTGCTGAAGGCCTCCTCACTGGAGGAGTCTGGGGTCTCCACCCGTGGCCCATTAGGAATGGGCATGCCACCGTTCATGAGTCGGTAGTCAGAACCAGCCCCTGGTCGTGTTGACTCGGCGGCGTCCATGGAATCTGAAGGGGTAGAGACATCCAGGAAGGAGCAGAACTCCCAGCTGTCTGAGAGGATGTCAGCTGTTGTGAAGTCCAGGTGGCCCAGGTCAAAGGGGCCACCTACACCGGCCTTGTCGCTGCTGGAGGTACTGCTCACAGTGGCCGTGGTCCAGTCATCTGGCTCCAGTTCAAAATCGAAGTCTGAGGTTAACTTATCTATCTGGCTCACCACCTGTCCAGGGAAGGGCAGAAGCATTAGAGTGGCCAGGCCAGACCTGGCATCACTTAGGTGTGAGCATGTGCCCCCCGGCCCGCCACCCCGTGACATCCCCCCTGCTAATGTCCCTACAGGATGGAGACTGGACTTGAGGTCACAGGCTTATTTGCTCTGTGGAGGCCCAAACTGGACCAGGGTGAACAGAGCTTGTTTTCCATTCCTCAGTCTCTTGGGTGGAGGAGGGACTGTCTTCCAGCCTGTACACCATCCATTCACGTACCCCTCTCCCCATAGCCAGCTGCTGTTCTGGAGCAGGGGAGGGGGTGTTTATAGGCTCTGGTGCTCAGAGCTTGATCTTCCTATGACTGAGAGGGGCTATTTAAAGAGGGTGGTTACCAAATAAAAGGATTAGTGTAGTAAAGGTTAAAGGGGGCCAAGTATATAGTAATGGAAGGTGATTTGACTTTGGGTGGGGGTACACAATGTAATATACAGATCATGTATCATAGAAATGTACATCTGAAACCTATGACCCTATTGACCAGCATCACCCCAATAAATTTAATCAGAAAATGAAATCTATCTATACTAATAAAAGGGTAATATGCTAATTAGACCGGGAGACCTTCTGGGAGACCTTCCAGACGTCTTTCCGGACAAAGCCATGGTGGCGGGGCTGAGGCAGAGGTGGTTACGGGCAATCAGGCTGGCAGGGGAGGGCAGTTGGGGTCGAGCAGGCTGGCAGGGGGGACAGTTGGGAGCGATCAGGCCGGCAGGGGTGGGGGCAGTTGGGGGCGATCAGGCCGGCAGGCAGAGAGCATTTAGGAGCCAGTGGTCCCAGATTGAGAAAGGGATGTTCAACTGCCGGTTTAGGCCCAATTCTACAGGACATCCACAAGGGGTCCCAGACTGGAGAGGATGCAGGCCGGGCTGAGGAACATCCCCTCCCACGCACAAATTTCATGCACCAGGTCACTAGAGGGCTGAGAGACTCCAGCAAATCTACTTAGTAGAGACGTGAGAAAATGATATGAGGTGACCATGAGGAAGCATCCTGGGCCAGCCTGTGCAGCTGGTCAGTGACTGTCCCTCAAGGGTCTCCATCACTCCACCTCTGCCCCCCCAGAGCCTTCTCCCTCCTTCCTCTCCCTGGCCTCTGATGACTGGAGATCAATCCTGGCTTGTTGGGGAATGAATAAAACAAGCATTATTTGGTAAGCAATAAAAAACCCATCCATCCTGGGCCCAGAGGTGCCTGTTAAATGCACTTGGGATGGGAGGGGGGACAGTTCAGCTGCAAGGTCACTGCAACCTGTCCACCCCAAGAAGACTAAAGCTCTGACTCCATGCAGGCAGCCCAGCCTCAGGACATCCCCTGACCTTGGCCACTGTCAGCACATGAGTCAGGGATGATGATAGGGAAAGGAGAATCAAGAGGAGGAGAGAGTCTTCAGGCCAAAAACAAAAATAGCAAAATATCAAAAGCAAAGTGGAGGAACCAAGAGACCCAGAGACAAAGGCATATGCAGTGAGTCACCAAGCCCAGGGCCCCTCCCGGTGTTCTTACCTGGAGTCAGATCAGCCAGTTAATTGATTACCTAATCAACAAAACTTTACTGAGGACCACAGCTATCCAGGGATGTGCTAGGTATTTGGTGAGGAGTGGGGGTGAGCAGTGCCCCACAGCGAAAGAAGAAAGCAAAGACAAAACTGAGGCGTCAAGAGGAGTCTGGGTCACTGGGATGTCTGCTTGGTTAGGGGGTCAGGAGACCCCACGCAAGTGACCTGGTCAGTCAATTTCCCACTTAGGTCTCAGTTTCTCAATCTGTAAGTGGGGAGTTGGGTGAACTGGTTTATCTCCAAGGTTCCTTTCATCGCTGTGATTCTAGGAAAGGGTTCTGTGGGGCATTGGCGATAAAAGTGACATTATCTCCCATCTCTGAGCACCTACTATGTGTCAGACTTTCCATCCATGAGATCATCATCTTCTGAGATCATAGATAATGGGCCTGAGGGACCAGTCACTGGGGAAGCTGAGATTACTGCCTTTGCCACACCCCTGCAAGACTGCACACTGCTCCAAGTGCTACTGTGATTTCTGGGCTTGAGTAGGCAATGGGCAAAGGGCTCTATCCTCCAATCTGGCCACCTCTTCTTATGTCTCTGACTCCAATGACTCCCCCTAACACAGAGAAGGTCACATCCCCCAGAAGTCCTTGCTCAACCCAATCCACATCTGTGGGCTGGTAGGAACCCTGGCCTCAGACTGGAATGTGTAACAGCCCACTCTCCAGAGTTTCTGATTTTGCAGGTTCTGGGTAAGGTTTGAGAAAGTGTAGATCTAACAGGCTTCCTTGTGCTGCTGCTGTTGGTCTGAGGACAAACTTTGAGAACCACTGACCTAGGGACCTGGTATTTAAGCTGATGAAGGAATAGCACCTCAGGGCATTGCTGGCTTCAGGAGTGGCCTTGTACCTCTGGGCAGCCACATCCTCCAATTAGACTCCCCAGAGCAAGCTAGATGCTGATAGTCTGCTGCTGAATAACAGAAGGCAACACTAGCAGGAATCTGGAGTTAAATTTCTTGGCTGTCATGGCACAGATTTGGCTGAGGCTAGGCCAGGCCCAGAAGCTGGGCTCCTAACATCCTGTGAGGAAGATCCAGGGAGCACAGGGCAGGATTTCTGAAGCCTTCAGGCCTGAACATACTCCCCCCATCCAAGAGGCCCTTCTCAGGTGGCCTTCACATTCAGGCCCTTCCTCTCCTCCCTTAGAACACCCTCTCTGGTTCCACCTTGGGGGTGTGGAGGGTAGTAAATGAGGGAGGCCTGGATTCAAGTCTCCAGTGTGGCTTTCCTGTTTCCAGTCTCATTTTCCTCCCCTGTAAAGTGGGATGATGCTCTTTTCCTCACCCAGTTGGTGGGGATTTAATAGATATGAATGTGCATTAAACTGCAGAGTCAGCACATCCAAGCATCTAAGAACCTGGGCTCTGGAGCCACACCTAGGGTCCAACCCTGGCATCACAACTTACTAGCTTTATGACCTTAGCCAGGTTGCTCAATGTCTCTGTGTGTAAGTATCTTCAGCCAAGGAGAATCCTAGTAGTACCTACTTGTTAGGTTGTTGTGACTATTTAATGACTTGATGCACAGAAAGCATGTAAAACAATACCCACCATGGACCATTGAGAGCCAACACGTAACCAGGCACCAGGCCCAAGAGCTGATGGGAGCGTTTTTCACCAAAAGAATGACACTCTGATGGGGATGTTTCCAGTACCCGTGGCAGAATAATGGGACATGTTGGGCCTTTCAAACCCCAACACCTGGGTGGCACCTATGTTCCATGAAGTAGGGCTATTTCCAGATGGAAACAGAAGAGGTTCTAAAAGCCAAATGGTTGAGGCTCACAGGCAAATCTGGCTCAGTTCTTTAGGTGGGATAGGTCAAACATACTTGATAAATGACATAAGTAAGAATCAGAAAGGGAAGTGAGATGCCCAGGGTACTCAGACTGTATGCAGAGCCTGGTCAAGCCTGTCCTTGGTGCCTCTCATTTCATGGGGCCAATGGGAGGGCAGGTGTGGGGCACGCCCCATGCTACCTGCCTCTCTGTTTGGATGTCTTGAAATCTGTAATTTCTGCCTGCGATTTAATAATCATTTTGCCTGCATCTAACTTGAGATCGTCTTAGAGTACAGGCAAAATAATTATATACACAGGATAAAAGAGGGGGAGAGGGGGAATGGAGAGAGAAATGAAACCATAAAAATCACAGAATCCTACAACCTCAAAGCCAGAAGGGATTGGAGACACTTGAGTCCATCCTTCTTACTGTGTTTACTGATAGGGAAACTGAGACTATAATGAGCTGAGCTGAGACCAGAAGTCAGGAGTCCTGACTCCTGGGTCTGATCTTTTAAGAACATGAATTACCTGCTCAAGAGGGAGCACTTGAGAGAAGGGCAGGGTTGAGGGCTGAGACAGAATCCCCCGGGGGGCCCAGGTCCTGACTCAGCCTCCGTCCTGGTCACAGCTTTGGCTCCCCTCATCTGAACAACTGCATCCACACTCATCTAGTGCATCCAGGGAACTTTCCAAAAAACCAACAGGACCTCTACTTCCAGCACTCCTTTGCTCCCCAAACTCCTGGACCTCCAAACACCACCCCACACCAAATGTGGCTAAGTGCCCTTTGCTCTCTACCCTACCAGGCCTGCCTCCTTACCACACCTACACACTTATGCCCTGAGCTCACTTCTGCCTCTTGGCCTCACCCGAAAGCCTCACACCGTTCTTACTCACTCTATCTCACTTCCATATGGAATTCCTCCTTGATCCCCAATTGAGGACAGGTTTCCTATGAAAGGCTCTCAAAGCACCTCATACCTTTCCTTAAAATATTATCTAGTATTTATCACTGCTACAATGTTTTGAGCATATAGGTTATAATGTGGTTGATATCTTCTCCCCACAAGGAGTGGGCCTGGAAATGCATCCCCACCATGCACCCCCAGTTTGGCAGAGATTGGTACACTCTTTACAATACAGCCATTGAATGAATAGACGAGTTGAGACATCTTAATAAAAATTGCTGGGGGGTTCTTTTCTGAGAAAATGCTCCATGGTCCTGGACACCACAATACTGCCTGCCCCAGCCCTAGCTGCCTCTCCAAGAAAAGCATGGATGTGTTCCATAAAACCCTAGAGCAGTGATGGCGAACCTTTTGAGCTCGGTGTGTCAGCATTTTGAAAAACCCTAACTTAACTCTGGTGCCGTGTCACATATAGAAATTTTTTGATATTTGCACCCATAGTAAAACAAAGCCTTATATTTTTGATATTTATTTTATATATTTAAATGCCATTTAACAAAGAAAAATCAACCAAAAAAATGAGTTCGCGTGTCACCTCTGACACGCGTGTCATAGGTTCGCCATCACTGACTAGAGTCAGGACTGAGGACTGGGAGTCCCACAACCTCTATCTCCTGTCCTCCCCCTCACCTCTGGCCCCTCACTTTTCTTGACAAGTTGCTACCTCCTTCCCTCCCGCCTAGCTCCCTGGGCAGCTGGTTATATAACTAGGGATTCTGCATTATTTATGACCACTGATTACTTTTTAATTCTGTGATTACGTTATTTGTCTTCCTGGGGGCTGTGGCGTTGGGGAGGGGGAGAGAGGTGACTGTGATTCATGACTCTCATCCTGCAATTTGGCCTAATTGGCCCCACAGCTTCGTGAATCTGTCTGGAGGAGGAGAATGTAAAGGGAAAAGGGTGGCGAGAAAAAAAAAAGAAGAAAAAATCCGCACAGTTCTTGCTGAGCTGTGGGTGATGGAGCTGACCCACTTTGGCACAGCTCTGTGGTCCCCAGCCTCTCCTGCTCCAGCTGCTTCCTGGCTGGGCCACATTTATCTCCTGCTGTATGACCCATGGCTCTCCTGGCGACCTCATATACAGCACCTTGCCGATGGGACAGGACAACTGCATGGGCCTGATCCCCAAGAAAATCAGGTGGGGGGGGGTCTTCACTGCCACTCCAGGCTGCAAAAGGGTTTTGCCCACCCCTCCATCTCCCAGAGGTGTTCAGGCCAAGGTGGGCAACTGTGCCCTTAAGTTATATCCTACCCAATAGCCAGTGATGATGTGAGGGATACTAGTGATCAACACAGGAACATTTTGAGCCCCATGCTGAATGACATCTTGGGGAGAGGGTAACCAAGGAGGAGGCCAAGTACCTACTCAAGGTAAGCTCAACATTTGGGGGGCCAAGAACAAGGTCCTATACCCCTGCCCTTGTGGGCTCCCAACTAGTAGGGAACAGGGAGAACAGTGGGGAGGCAGATTCCCACCCAGAAACACAATGAGATTCCTGGGGAACGTGTGGGATTCTCACAGGACAAAATCCAAATTCTGTACTGTGGCCTGCATGCCCTGTGTGCCCTGGCATCCTGCTCTCCACCTCCTAGTTCCCTCCAGTCCAACTGCATCAGCTTCCTTGCTGATCCTGACCATGGCAAGCACACTTCCTCCTCAGGACCTGCTGCTCCCCCTGCTTGGAGGCTCATTTCCAGATATCTATTTGACTTGTATGTATTTTCACTTCCTTTGGGTCTTTGTTCAAACACCATCTCATTGGAGACCTGCTTCCCAACCCCATCACCAATCCCTTGCCTCCGCCAGAAGAGGGTAGGACTGCCTGCTGCAGGGCCCTGGGCCTGACCTCCCTGATCATGGCTAAGATGCCAATGTGACTCCAAAAGAACAAGGGCTCACACAGAGCTGAGGAGCAGGTTAGTGCTAGAACAGTTCATCAGTAATATCTAACAGATATGGAGCTAGTTTTGTGCCCATTGCTGTGTGAAGTACATTGTATATAATATCACATTTAATCCTCACAACCACCGTAGAGCTGGTGAGGGTGAGGAGGCATACTATTCTGTATCCTCATTTTAGAGATGCAAAACAAAAGCACAGAGAGGTAAAGTAACTTTCCTAAGTTCACACAGCTAGGAAGGTGGTGGAGAACATATGTGAACTAGAGACATCTGACTGCAAAGCCCAAGCTCAGCCCGTAGGCTGTGCTGCTTCTCCAAATTTTGATCCACGGAATTCTGAGGAGCTTAGAGAGCCTGCTGGGATTGGCCTGGCACCTGGAGTACTAGGGACCTAGGAGAAATGAAGGCTAGTTAATGATTGACTGTCACATCCTCTGCAGCACAATTTTTGCTTTCAAGACACTTTTACATTTCTCACCTCACTTAGTCCATAAAACTATTTTCCCACCCATGGGACAGAACTTGCCCCCTATCCCTTGGGGAGAGCCAGGAGTTTGGGAGAATAGGAGAGGTATGGGAGAGGGAACGCCAAATCCTTCAGGGGTATGAGTAGGTGTTGGTACCCCAATACATCCTTGTAAGATCACTCTGAGGTGTGAATTATCATCATTCCCATTTTAGAGATGAGCAGACTGAGGCTCGGGGGCCTGGGGAGCAGTGCTGTAGTGTTTCTCATCTTTCTATGATGCTCAAGAAGTGAGGAGGCTCTGCTATGACCCATGGTATGTGTGGAAGGGAGCAGCAGATGGAGAAGGATAGCAGAGGGGCTATAGCTAAGCCCTTCCTCTCTGCTGGCCTTCCTCCCTCATCAAGCACCCTGAGCTGCCCTCTGGCAGTCTTGGGTGTAAATCTTGGCTTCACATCTAAGTGCTTCACCCTCCTGAGACCAGAACTCAGTTGGTGAACTCTGTGCTGGTGCTGCCTAAAGAGTGGAGTGTGATAAGAGAACCCTCGCAACCTTGGGCCTACCCATGCCCCCACTGAAAAATGCCACCCAAAGTGACTGAGGAGAGCCAGGCAGATCCATTGGAGGATCAAGAGCCAAGCTTACAGGTTCCTGGTGGTGGGGGTGGGCTGGGTGGGTGCAAACCTTTATCTCAAACCAGGACCTGGCACCCCTAAGCGGTAACCCCATTCCTGACAAACCCCATCTCCTAGGAATAACATCTCCTCTTCTGCCTGGGCCTCTGTAGGCCTCACCTGCCTTCCCCAACACTCCTCTCTGCCCATCACCCCATCTCTAGACCCTGCCTAGGAGATGGGGAAGCTCTGAGACCTGCCCCCCCCATTCCCAGCTGGGTGCCATTGGCAGTGGGCAGGTGGTGGCATACGGGGTAGATTCTGGTTGCCATAGCAACCTGCCAGAGTCTTGGGTGGAGGCACATGGCCTATTGCGGGTATGGGGGGAGGGGACTCATCTTTCTCTGTCCTGGCTCAGGCCTCTGGGTTGCACAGCCCGTGAACCTGAAGCTCTGCTGTTCAGGACATGGGAATAGGTGAGTGTGTGTGCTGAGAAGAGAGGGAGAGGCTATCTCAAAGATCTGCAAGTAAATCCTAATGCTTCTGATCTTCCCGCCTCACTCCCTAAAGGGCACCCCTTCAGAGTATCACAGAATGAGCATAAGATCTCACGTCTAGAAGGTCCCTAACAAAATGGAATGAGGTTGCTCGTTAGCCCACCTGCTGAAGCCCCAGAGCAGGAATCAGGACCTGAGTTCTACTGAGTACCCCTGGTAGGCTCTGTGACCTTCATCAAGCCCCTATCCCTCTCTGGGCCTCAACTTCTTCAACAGTAAATGAATAGGGCTGGTCGGGATGACCTGTGTGATGCCTTCAAGCTCTGGATGGCTCTGCTGGGAGTGGGAGTGGGTTGGGGGTGGGGATGGGAAGAACAGATGCCTGCAAGATGCTCAGCTGGTCATTTGGGAATAGGCTCTGTACTATATCAAAACTCACCCCCAGGCTTAGAGTCCATCCTGGTTCTTTCTGGGTAGGCCTGCTGAGGCATAGGTCCCATGTCCCTGCTCAAGACAGAGACTCTGGACAGTTCCCATGACTCTGATGGAACCACAGAACATATGAAATAGATGGGGGGTGGGAGGCATGAGGTGGGGATGGTAGTCCTTCGGAACAATGAGGTTGAGGGAGGAGGAGTTACTCATAGGCAATGACCACTAAATTGCATTCCCCAGAGATGTTCAGCCCACACCCTGGCCAGCCCAGTTCGCACAACACCTCTCTCTACCTGTAGCAACAGCCATTCCTGCCTCCTGAGGAAGGACTTCCTGGCAGGCTCCATGAGGCTGACTGGGCAGAGAGGCTGCCTGCCCAACCTTAGTTCCTGGCCCGAATCTCCACTCTGAAGATTCAAACACCCCCTGCTCCTTGGCTCTTGGGCCAGGCTAGAAGACCACTTTGCCAGTCTGGAGTTGGTATCCACCATCACCTCCTCTTCTCAATCTTTCTAGAGCCCCCATCTCCCTGCACATCTGGCTGGGAGAGCCTGAACCCATAACTCCAATTCAATCACTCTCCCTGCCATCTCTGCAGGGGCCCTGGTTACAAGGAGTTGAAATTTGCCTAAAGCCCACCTGGCTGGCATAATGGTACTCAGTGGGAAAATTCAGGCCAGTGGCTCAGAACCCTGGTCATGCATTTTAGGCTCGAACACAGCCCAGGGGGTAGGGCTGAGGACATGTGTACTTCATTACCTGAGCAATGTGGGAAGCGGTAATGAGGGACACACATCCTAGGCTCTCTGGGTGACTTTCAATCTTGGCCAAAAATGTTCAGAACTACGGGATGGGGATACATCCCTGTAGAGGAGATTCCTGCCCCTGCCAATGTACACAGGGGCTCTTATACCCACTAGCAGCCCCCTAGTCTCATTCCCACCTCAGGGCAGGGAGGAACTAATTTTTTTGGGATCAAGGGTTCTGTAATATCTGGGGAATGGTCCAAGCAGTGGGGACTGCCTCATTAAGCCATCTACACTCTCCCAGGGCCCCTTGTGACCAGCAGATGGTGGGGGTCAAAGGTCAGCTTAGGCTCCAGAAGAGGTTATTGTGGAACTCAGTCCTTATTGGCCATCTTGGCAGCCAAGTCGTAACCACAGAGCCATGGGCCCATTACATGCTGTCCAAATGCTCTCTGAAACACTGAGACCCGCCCTGCCCTGGGCTATTGTAAGATTTTTAGCAGAGCAGACTTGGGGAAAGGAGAACAAGATGGAGATACCCAGCAGAGTGGCACACATGCACACAGCTTTGGGCACACACACACACACACACACACACACACAGAAACATACATGCCAGAGTATGTTTTTGTGCCAGGCCCAGGAAAACTGGTTTAGGGTCCGTCTGGCCCCTCACTCACCTCCCTGAGCTCCTTGGCCACCTCCTTGAGCTCCCGTAGGATGCCCTCCAGCTGCCCGATGACCATCTTCATGCGCTGTCGAATCCGCTCACGTTCGCCACCACTGCTGGGGTCGTCACTGGGCTGCCCGAGGTCCGGGGTGCCCCGAATGTTCATCCTTCACCACGTGGCTGCAGGCCTGCCCATACTCCCCCCAGCCAGGCACACACTGCGTCTGCCTCCACAGAGCCCCCCTCAGCCAGGCAGAGCTCCACATCTTAACGGCCCCCCAGCCCACGCTGGCCCTGGGTGGCCCTCACCCAGCCCCTGACTCCTGCCACCCCGCCTCCTTTGCCTCTGGATTGGGAATGGGACACCCAGAAGGAGACAGAATCTGACACAAGGGGTCAAGATGAGGACATAGAAGGGCAGGGGAGGGGTCTTGGATCTCAGGAGCCCTTCAGGACTTGAAGTGCCTATAGGTGTGCTGGGCTGATGTCTGGATGAGCCTGGACACAGAAGCAGGGGGATGACTCTGCAGGGACTAAGGGTAAGAGATGCCCTTGGGATTGGGGAAGGCAGCACAATCCCCTCACGACTCTTGGGCAGTTGCAAAGGCAGAGGTCTCTGGTTGCAAGTGACACCTGCAGAAGGACTGTGGCTGGGGTCTTTCCAGATGTGGAGGGGGCTCCAGATGTGGACAGCTCTGGGAAGGGAGCTGGACGGAGGAGAGCAGACCCCTGCAGAGAGAAGCCTGGCATCAGCCCTCCTAGACTGCAGCACCAGCCGGCAATGCTGCTGCCTCCATCCTCTCCACAGCCGGGCACCCTTCCTCGCTGGGGATTTAATGTTTTTCTTTGTGGGGAGGGGTGGTGGAGGCAGATGGTCTACAGCACAGCCCCTCTTTGGGAAGAAAAAGAGGGAGCCCCCGCTTTAGAGGCAGAAGTCCTCAGCCTGCGATGGGGCACCGAGCACCAGGTCCCCCCAAACACCCCTCCCCAGCCAGGCCTTGCCCTGGAGGTTCACCAGAGGGTCTCTCCAGTCTTCTGTCCTCCCTCGTAGTGCCCCCAGGGTGCCCTCGTTCCCAGCAGACCCTCCCTTTCCCAGCCCAGCCTTCCCTTAGAACCCCCGGACTCACCGAGGGTGGGGGCACCGGCCTGCCTTCCGAGTAGCGTGGGGGCCAAGCCCCAAGATGAGGGTTGGGGGGGCCCCTCCAGGCTCCCTAGGGCGGGCTTCTCTCTCTGGACCCTTCGGCCCCTGGCCTCAGGGAGGTCCTCAGAGCGCCCCGGGAGACATCTGGGCGGTGGGAGGGGCGGGCCTCTGCGCTCTCTGACCGGGGCAGGAAAATGTCCCCAACCCCGCCAGGCGCCGGGGTGGGGGCTGGGCGAGAAAGGGTCTTGGTGGGTCTGGGGGTTCTCAGGGCCACAGGGTGACCCGGGGCGTAGGGCGGTCCCGGTGCGTGAGCCAAAAGTAAGCTGGGAATCCGGAGGGGGGCCGGGGATCC